CGAAAATTGATTAAAAGCCTCTAGAGAACAAAGAGACCGTTTAACATAACACTTTAGCACGAGCAGACCCATTTTGATAAAGTCAAGTTAAGGCACATCAGATAAACTTGAATATGGAATTGGCAAACGACAATAGAGAAAGACAAATAAGCTGAAGAACTTTTACCCCATTTTGTAGTTTAGTTAGTCTACGGAATCAACATCATGGCACGCGGGTGTAAACACATAAGGCTCTCCTGTCTACTTCTAACTCAAGTTTGAGTCCTGAAGAATCTCAGCGCAGTGCATCAGCTCCGTTGCACTGGCGAGGACTCCTGCAGTAAACTTTTAAGTAAGAGTTTTTAACTTCCAAATAATGCCCTGGCAGCGCCTTTATGTCTACTCGTTTTTTCGATTCCCAACTGCGACAGAGGATGTTTTCGCTGCGCAACAATACACAAGGGCGCTTGAATTACTACCAAGAGACCAGGGTAAATTACTAGAAGCCCACGTGAAAAATCCCCAACCCTCACAGAGGTTTGAATCCGGGACCTCCAGCACTCGAGGTGGATGCCATACCTCGAAACCACGCAGCCCCCAATCACATTTTGTAATGGCATGGAAAGGTGTCAGCAGACAAACTGACACACGCTAGTGGAAATACCAGTTAGATGATTAGTCGACAGATTATAATTACTGCACGTCGAGCCATTTAGTCCACAGGTGCTCGGATCCCCTCGTCAGCAATTATGCAGCGAGCAGCGGCTGACAAGAAACAGTTCTGTTGGTTCTCTTACTCTTCTTTGGTTTCATACCAATTGCTATTATCTGGCCACACTCCTTTTAACACCAAGTTCTTGGAATCAGATCATGATTGCAGAATTATAGTCACTTGGTTCTCACATACGTCGTACTCTGCATAGAGCATTTAGTATAGAAGCCTGACCGCCTTGCTCGTCCGCCCTTCACAGCATCTTTACCTGCCAGCCAATCAGCTTGTTGTTTTTTTTCCTTGCACACCTGCGTGGAAATCAAAGATGTGAAGAAGGGTGGTCGTCTATGTGAGTCGGCCAGACCATTTACGAAGATTGTGATGGTACATCGAGAACAAGTATTTATGAAATAATTTCGACTGAGGTAGGATTTGAACCAAAGACCGTCGCTATTTGAGCCTGGAGTGCTGGGACCTGTGGTCTTATGCACATAAGGCCTTTAAGAAACAAATTAGAGGAAACGTAGATGGCAAAAGAGCAAAAAGTATATAACGATACAGATGGAAGAACTAGATCAAGAAATGGACGAACTGGGAGAGAGAGCACAAAAAAGACAAGAGACAGAGCGTTTTGGAAATATCCCTGATCTACCTCATGGGCTTCCACACACCCAAGGGACTTGAATATCAACACAGTATTATCTTTGGGTCGCAGCTTTGGCCTTCCCGGGCCTATGTTTATCATTGGTGTCATTCATTTCACTGGTCGGGCAGCACTTTGAGCGATTTTGTGTAATTCGTGTTTGCACTAGGATGGTGGTATGTGGTGGTGTTGATTTATGTAATGTGCTGATAAAGACTCTCTAGCCGCAACTTCCGCTGGGGTTTGTATTTGTGGCACTGTGAAGCTGACTGACTCTAATTTTCGTTTGGTTTCATATTTTTATGAGATCCCCTGCAGCCAACCTTTATTGTGGAGACATCACCTGAGTGATTGACTGACTCAATCTGCACCCCTTCCTGTATTGTACGGAAATGTTGAATTAAAAATCGACTTGGGACACCCCCAAAAGCGCTCAATCCTCATCTCCAGCAGCAAGCAAAGAGTTCTAATTCCGATGGCACCAGTAACTGTCTGATCGTATATCCGTCCTGCCTTTTCCTTGCATGTTAAATGTCTGCCAGATCCCCAGGTAACTCCTCACAGCACCATTCTCCTCAGACCGTAATGGTCTATTTGTGCCTCAGCACTGTTCACTCTCTCCCAAAGGGCCCTCTCAATATCTAGCTTGTCATACATCAATTCACCACTAAATGGTACAGAACTATTTTGTATAGAAGAAGTTCAGTGTTGAGCATTCTAGTATATACATATTGCATTACTTGAAATATATTATTATATTTATGTACTTTTCAACATATTATTTTCATTACTATTTTAAGCACTTAAACAAACCTTAGGCCTATTTTAGACATAGCGCCCCATTCCTCCCCAAGTTTTCTTTGCGTTGGCTCCTTGATGTGCATGTGTACAGCCAATAAACAAATAATAATAATAATAATAATAATAATAATAATAATGATGATGATGATGATGATGATGATGATGATGATAATAATAATAATAATAATAATAATAAAAATAATAATAATAATAATAATATCTGGAAAGGAAATCTACAGGAAAAAACAGAATGCTTGTAGTTATCACTTTCACGTTGTAGATGGCCTGGGGGAAAAAGAGAGGGAGGGGGGAAGGGAGGGAGACTTTAAGCCTGTTGATTTAAAGCCGAAGCGCTGGGCCTGTTGCCACGGACTGTGCAGGTTAGGAATCCCAGTATTACCTAGGATTCTAACCCTGGTCTCTCGCTGAGCTTTGTGTTCGTATCCGTTCGTCCAGTCGCTCTTCACAGGAGATAATATACCAATAATAAGGAAGTGGCAAGGGGAGATAAGTTCAGCGTATATAAAGACAATTATTTCAGCATGACATAGTTGTCAGATTTCATTACATGATTGTGGACAATCATTAAGGTCCCGAGGGGTTGTTTATGCCTGTACACGCGCTGTTACGTGACAACAAGGCCCATAACTGAAAATATAACGGATAAATAAATGATAAATATTGTCGTTTGGGGCACGATGGGAGACAATTCGAGCTGAACAATTTAACCATGTTAAGAGAGACATGATGTAAATGCCAGAAGGATGACACAGGTGAGATATATGAAAAATCACCATCAAACAGCTACCGAAGATCGTTCTTGACACACACACACACACACACACACACGCACACGCACACGCACGCACACACACACACACACACACACACACACACACACACAGTACGTCTAAAAGTATCTCTTTCTGTACTGAATTCTCCAGCCCTTCCGTTGCGAACGAATATACAATGACTTGTATCCCATCTCGCCTCTTCCTCGTTTTCTGGAGACTACACTTCATTAGACAGGAAGAGGGAGGCCAAAGAGAAGATTGGTCCATGCAGGATGTGGCGGATGATCTCTAAACGGGTGAATCGGACGAAGGACATCTTGCTTGTGATCGAGAAGTTTTCCGGAAAGTTGTTACGGCATCAAGTTTCTGCAAAGGACATGCTACTGACTGACTGACCGTCCATCACCAATGTCTCCAGCCCACCATGTCAAAAACTCGTTTCTCAGCCTTTTAGCCAAAATCAAAATGTAGCTTTGCTGCACTAGTCTAGACATAAGGAACGAATCTTTCGCCACTAACAAACTGAATGAACCTCAACCGGCTGTTGCCTGTTTGGTCTGGGTAACCAGCGTAACATCCTGCGGTAAACTAGGAGGCCAGGCACGGCGTTTTGGGGACCGACCAGGTTTTTAACAAAATGAGGCTTGACATGGGAAAAATTCCTCAGCTTTCGGGACAAGATGTTGTTTATGAGCCAATTCTGCACGACGCGCTGATCGGCCTGATCGGTGCTTTTTTAAAATTGTTGGTCAATAGTATTCTAAAAAATGTTTCTGTAGCATTGCAGCTCAAAGCCACGGGGAAGATCTCTGATCTCAGAATGTTTCCAATGTAGGCGCTATGCCATAAGTTCTTTGTGCAGTTTGGTCTCTGCATTGCTAAAGTACGTGGTTTCAGACTTCTTTTGATACAAGATTAATCATGTTATAAAAACCTCCTTATCTGAAAAGAGGAAAAAATAGGCCGAAGATGCATTACCTCTGACTCTGAAAGTTATGTGTTGACTTTCTCGAACGTTTCGTTTAGCTCACTGGTTCACTTTTTTATAGAGATCCCTGAGATCGCAGCTGAAGCTACGAAGTTCGTGATTTATGCGTCGCTCTCTGTAGACGACTGGTCATTCTGCAGATAGACAGACAAAGAGAGAGAGAGAGAGAGAGAGAGAGAGAGAGAGAGAGAGAGAGAGAAAGAGAAAGAAAGAGAGAGTCCTAGCAATAGGGTATGCATTCGCTTTAATGAAACAGACCCTGTCGACTTTTATTTTTAACTGTGCCTTGGTCACAACGAAACCTTTTATTGAGCTAAGTGGTAATCAGACAAGGCAACACACGACCAGACTGTACACACGCTAACTGTCAACACAAGACCAGACTGTCCACACATGCTTAATGTCAACACAAGGCCAAAACCGCGTACGCGTGCTCACTGTCAACACAAGGCCAAAACCGCGTACACATGCCAACTGTCAACACAAGGCCAGACTGCGTACAGATGTTTACTGTCAAAACAAAACCAGACCGCGTACACATGATCACTTTCAACACAAGAGCAGACTGCGTACACATGCTCACTGTCAACACAAGAGCAGACTAAGTACACATGGTCACTGTCAACACAAGACCAGACTGCGTACACGTGCTCACTGTCAACACAAGAGCAGACTGCGTACACGTGTTCAACGTCAACACAAGAGCATACTGTGTACACATGGTCACTGTCAACACAAGACCACACTGCGTACACATACTGTCAATACAAGGCCAGTCTGAGTACACCTACTCACTGTCAATACAAGACCCGACTGAGTACACCTACTCACTGTCAATACAATACCAGACTGCATACACCTACTCACTGTCAATACAAGACCAGATTGCGTACACCTACTCACTGTCAATACAAGACCAGACTGAGTACACCTACTCACTGTCAATACAAGACCAGACTGCGTACACCTACTCACTGTCAATACAAGACCAGACTGAGTACACCTACTCAATGTCAATACAAGACCAGACTGAGTACACCTATTCACTGTCAATACAAGAAGACTGAGTACACATACTCACTGTCAATACAGACTGAGTACACCTACTACTGTCAATACAAGACCAGACTGAGTACACCTGTCAATACTCACTGTCAATACAAGACCAGACTGAGTACACCTACTCACTGTCACCTATTCAAGACCAGACTGAGTACACCTACTCACTGTCAATACAAGACCAGACTGAGTACACCTACTCACTGTCAATACAAGACCAGACTGAGTACACCTACTCACTGTCAATACAATACCAGAGTACCAGGTGAGAGTACACCTACTCACTGTCAATACAAGGCCAGGCTGAGTACACCTACTCACTGTCAATACAAGACCAGAGTACTACTCACTGGACAGATACTGTCAATACACCCAGACTAGTACAACAAGCCAGACTGTACACAGACTGAGTACACCTACTCACTGTCAATACAAGATCAGACTGAGTACACCTACTCACTGTCAATACAAGACCACACTGCGTACACTACTCACTGTCAACCAGAAAGCCTTTCCTGACCAAGACAAGAGTTTAACCTTAACAGATCGTGTGTCAAACTGGGTAAGACATCCCGATTTTCCGGTTCCGCCCGAATGTCTTAACCAGTTAGACACGCTATTAAAACAAGTCATTGTTTTTTGCTCCTATATCATAGTATGATAGGTATGATTCATACCTAGCAAGACATTTGTTTGGACCACAATTTTGCGGTAATATCTGTGTAAACGAAACAGAAAACGTTTAATTTGTAATGAAAATGAAAAATTATGAATAAAATAAGAATGGCAGGTCCAAGCAAACGTTCTCGCTTGACAGCAGATCAAGTTATTTTTTTTTTAGAGAAAAGTGATTCCGATTTTTCTTTGGAAAGTGATGTAGATAGATGCAAAGGACAGGGATATCCCGTGAAACCAGATCTGGTTTGATTTCCACCATCACGTGGCTCGACTTAGATAAGATAGCTACACGATCTACGACGTGCTCATTTTCTTGTCACTCTTGCAATGACTTGATCAGACATCTGAGTTTTTACAGGCTGAATACTTTTGACGGGCCATTTCAGAGCATTAATCTTATATTTCCCGTTTGTTTGGTTGGTTTTATTAAAAAAAAAAGTACTTGCCCGTAGTTTGTAGTCAAGATCGGCAGCAGATGGCAGGCGGACACATCTAATGTAGTTCTTCTTCATTTCTCTTTTACCACTTCGGATGTCGAGGGGGATGTAAGTTTCTGCTTCTGGTTTTTCTGGTCGCCTCTATCATAGACACATCATGCTCTTGTATCGTTTCTCTGATGCTGTCTTTCCATCTTGTTCTTGGTCCACCTCCTCTTATTTTAATGTTTGCCTTGTGTTACAAAGTATTATCTTTAAGTGGGTGAACCATTTGATCTTTTGTCTTTTTATGTAATTTAGAAGTGTTTCGGCGCCGACTTTTTTTTTTCTCTTATGAGTTCATTCCTAATTGCATCTCATCTTGTCACTCTAGCATCCCTTCTCATACATCTTATTTCCACAGCTACTAATTTCATTTTCTGGTATCTTGTGACTGACCAAGTCTGACACTGCTAGCATAGGGTTGGGGATAATTATACTTTGTAAGTAATCTTTCTTCGTGCTGATCCGGTCTGTTTCTTTATATATGGTTACTTGTCTGAAAAGGTAACTTTTTGTCCATCCAGGACACTGATTACCAGCTCATGGATGAGAAGACAACCGGAGTAAATCCCAGACACCTGATGCAACTTGTAGTCCTGTACGTGACTAACTGACTGACGGTCAATCTGACCAAGACCGAAAAACCAGTTATATAACACCCGGTGGCACAATGGGCCACCATTCGGATGAAATTCACCCGGGCGCAAGTCCCAGAAACCGCATTCAACCCGTAGGTTATATTTAGGGTCCCTGATGACACCCGGGCTAGGGCTTTAAAATAACAAAATATTGAGTTCACCATTGGGTAGAGGATTACTATCATGTGCATGTAAAACCTGTAAGCTTCCTAGAAAATTAATTGTAGGAGACGTGCAATTAACAAAACAATTCATCAGCAGACATTCTGCAGACGGCAACAATGTCTGTTCATATAAGGTACACAAAACAAGAATAGGAGTGACTAAAACTGTCTTCAATACAGTGCGCAAGTTACTGACAGCTAGAGAGATAAACAGAACACTAACAGTTAAAAAGTAAAGTAAAAAAGTAAAGATCCCTTTTTACGCTTTTCGGCGCATCAGGCATATGGGCAGAGCGTCCCATATTTTTTACAGACCAATTGACATTGGGTGGGTAATTGGTCAGCATTACGCCGGTCGTCTTTACTTCCCCAGGACAGCCATCCTGGTACCTATTTGAGGCTGGGTCGAGCTGCGACGTCCCATACATACCACGATAAAAATCCACGCAGCCAGCAGTGGGTTTCGAGCGCGGTACGTTGGATTACGAGTCGGACTCGCAACGCCTTAGACACGGACGCCGCCACTAACAGTTAGAATCATCAAATGTTACGTAGACTCAGTCCTGATACATGGTACAGAAACGTGGACAGTCAACAAGCAACTAGAAAATCAAACTGAGTCTCTGGAGATGTGGGTATACAGAAGAATAGGTCGTATTTCACGGAAACCAAAAACAATCCAATATAGAGGTTCTGTAAAGGGTACACATGAAAAAACCCTGACTAACTGACTTTCTACCCCACCAGGACATCACACAAGCAATAAACACCCGATGACACAAAGTGCCACCATGCGGATGAGGATCACCGTGGAGAGGTCCCAGAAACCGCGTCAAGACAATTGGCCATATTTATGGCCTGTCTATATTGCGGCCCCTGGCAAAAACCAGAGCGGGGCTTCAATAAAAAAAAATTACGTCCTAAGAAGGACGTAAAGAATTGAATAACTAATATATTACTTAGTTAATAAAAAAATTAAAAAAAAAAAAGAATTACTGAAAGAAATAAAAAAAAGGGACAAGTGAAATACTTTGGCAACATTAAAAGACATAACACACTTTTGAAAACCATAATGGAGGAAAGGTAGAAGAAAAGACAGCAAGAGGTGGCCAATGATACAAGTAGGAGAACAACATCAAGAGATGAAGGGCCAGCAGTCTGCGGTGTCTAAAACTAGGACAAGAGACAGAGCGTGTTGGAGATCCAGCCACAGTTTACTTGATTTACCTGACTGATTGAACAGGTACAGGACAATTTCTAGAATATATCTACATAAAAGGCAGGCCGGATAATTATCATCAGCTAGCCTGGGTAAATCTTCTCTGAAACGGAATTAGAATTTCTCTTTTTGCTCCGGAACATTGGATGTAGACGTTCTCCGGGGCGTGTGATAAAATATCCGAAATAAGGTCACTGTGACTTTCAGGGGAAATAATTGAATGCGAAGGAACACAATAACCGGATTGTCGAACATGAATAGAAGAATGGAGATGGCTCAACTCAGATGGGAGGTTAATTAGATGTAAATATAATTAGTACTTGTCACATTTTGACATTTTCTATCGCCTGTACACGCACACACACACACATACACACACACATACACACACGCATACACACACACATACATACACACAAACATATATACATACACACGTAAGGGGAAAAAAAGAGAGAGAAAGAGACAGAGAGGGAAAAGAATGAGAAAATACAAGCACATATACAAATTTATTTAAAACGGGGGAAAAGATCATACAAGGATGATGGAATTAACAAATTTATAACGTCAGAAAAATGAATTACGGCTTCTGCAATTATAAATAATAGAAAACAAACAGATATTCACAATTAATTTCTGTTTGAACTCTCCGTTGGGAGTCGCCGTGGCGGAGCGGCTAGACGCTCGCCGCGGATCGGAAGGTCATGGGTTCGCTCCCAGGCGTAGACGGACTGTTAAAAAAAAATGACTTCGGCTCCCAGGTAAACCCAGCCTTGAGTGGGCACCGGATGCAGTCCCGGGAAGTAAAGGCGGCCGGTGTGATGCTGACCACATAACCCACATTGTGCCGATTGGTCTATAAAGTATAGGTCTAGCCCTATATGCCCTATATGCCCAATACGCCTATAAGGTTGGAAATGGGTCCTTTAACTTACTTTACTTGAACTCCCCTTTAAAAGATACAAGAAAGACAAGAACCTTAGTGACATGGTGTTGTGTGCCCTTGGGGTTTAAGGTTTGAACAACGGATCAACATCATAGCACACGGGTAGTAACCCATAAGTGCTTCGTTCTTCTTCTAACTCAAGTCTGAGTCCGGAGAGGCTCAGCACAGTGCACAGGCTCTGTAGCACCGGCGAGGATCCTGAAATACTCTAGGTAGATTTTTAATTCCAGATTTTGTCCGGGCAGCGCCGTTAGGCTACTCTTTTCGATTTCCAACTGCCAAGGGATTTTTACGTGCGTAACAATGCACACGGGCGTCCGATCTCACTACCCAGAAACCACGGTGGAATTACTAGAAGTCCAAGTGAAAAAATCCCAGCCCTTACAGGGGATTGAACCCGGAACCTCTAATACTCGAGGCGGACACCATGCCTCTAGATCACGCAGCCCCCTTGTGTGCCCTTGCTTTTGAAGAAGACGAAGACAGTCATTGTTGACTTCCCTTCAACTCTAAGAGAGTTCATACATAATTTATTGGGAAATAAAGGGCCCTTTTTCCATGCCCTCAGGCGTATTGGGCATATAGGGCTAGACCTATATTTTATAGACCAATCGGCACTTGGTGGGTGATGTGGCCAGTTTAACGCCTGCTGCCTTTACTTCTCAGGACTTTACCTGGCACCTTATTAGGGCTGGGTCTTTATGCAGCGTAATTGAGCGAAGGTGAATTATTTAAAAGAAATAATGAACCGACGATCTAGTAAATCGAAAAGCAACGTTCAATAAGTGAATCATTAATTAATGAATGAAGAGATGCAGGTGACTGTGTAATCATTGATCATTAAATAAATTGCTAAATATATATAAAAGAGGGAGGAGTGAACATTATTTCTGTCTAAATATATGTCTGTCTTTCTGTCTGATTACAATTCGAGGTTTCGGTTATTTGAAGATGATCTGGTTTGATTTCACGAATTACTATTAAACGACACACACTTTCACAAGTGATATTCTCCTACTAGCGTTCACACGATGAGCATCTCAATAAACTTTCCTTTCAGCAGTTCTGAACTTAATTGTCGACTAGTTTTTTTGTTTGTTTTTTTAGTTTAGTCAACAACGCGCCGCAACTATGTAAATTAAAGTAAAGATAAGTAAAGATCCCTTAACACGCCCTTAGGCGCATCGGGCATATGGGAAGAGCACCCACATTTTTACAGACCACAATCGGCACTCGGTGGGTAATGTGGTCAGCATTACGCCGGCCGTCTTTACTTCCCCAGGACAGCCATCCTGGTACCCATTTGGGGCTGGGTCGACCACCGACGTCCCATTCCACGATAAAAATCCACGCAGCCCGCAGTGGGTTTCGATCGCGGTACACTGGATTACGAGTCAGACTAGCAACGCCTTAGCCACAGACGCCGCGCCGCAATTATAATCGAAATTAAAAAAAAAAACATTCCACATGAAATCGACAGCTAACAGTGTCGCACCAAGCACCCAACTCAGTGGCCAGGCAACAAAATCTTTAGATTCCCTGTTAATAAATTTGAGTTTTTCATTTCCACTAGCAAAGCCTAGCCGGTAACAAATAACTTCTTAGAACGTCAGGGGTCAGCTGGCTATTGACCAGTTTGTTCGTCCTGCAAAGGATACCTACTAACTTTAGCAGAAACGCTTGTGTCCAAATACAACAGTTAGGGCTGTGTATCTCAAAAGGAAAGAGGCTGGAATGGTAAGGGTTTACACAATAGGAGGCGGGGTTGGGAACTAACGTCTCAATACGATGCACAAATTATGAACCACCTTCAGAAATTCGTAAATGGCCAAATGAATGAATCGTCTTCATCTTCATTATCCTCGTCTTTGTCTGCTCTTGATTATGTTTATTCTCATATTTCACTGCTTACTTCAGATGCTTATTTCTATCTGTCTTTCTTTCTCGTTTTTTTTTTCTTTCTTTCTTTCTTTCTTTCTTTCTTTCTTTCTTTCTTTCTTTCTTTCTTTCTTTCTTTCTTTCTTTCTTTCTTTCTTTCTTTCTTTCTTTCTTTCTTTCTTTCTTTCTTTCTTTCTTTCTTTCTTTCTTTCTTTCTTTCTTTCTTTCTTTCTTTCTTTCTTTCTTTCTTTCTTTCTTTCCTTCTTTCTTTCTTTCTTTCTTTTTTTCTTTCTTTCTCCCTTTCCTACTTTCTGTCGTTATTTCGTTCTTTGTTTTTTTGAAATATTTTTTTTTGTTTTTTTCAATCTTTTTTTAATTCTTCTTCCTTTCTAACTTTTTTTTGTATTTTCTACTGGTGTTTGTTCTTGTATTCCTTATTGAGACTTTTGGCTTCCGGCCAGGAAGTTTTCCTAATTAGACTGAATGCAAAACAGCAACTGTAGATGGTCGTTAAAAAAAAGGTACGAGAACGGAAACACCAAAAAGGTTAAATGTCAAAAACAACCACTCAGTGTACTCACTGCTTCAGGGCGTTGTTGAGTTGGTCCTGCATTGTCTGAACTTTGACCTCCAGTTTATTCTTCTCCTTAATGGTTTCTTCAATGACCTGTCTGGCCTCGGCTAGTTCTGTCTCGTACATCTTCTTAATGGCGCTGGTCTCCTTGCCCCAGTTGTTCTAAAACGAGTTGTTTTCATTAACAACTTGAGAACCATGTTGCTACATATGTATGGAAACATAATTTACTGAAGTCACAAAACCATTTTCTACGTCTTCATGTGTATTGGTCGGCGTCTGTGGCTTAGTCGCTAAGAACGAGTTTCGTAATGCAGGGGTATCGGGTTCGATCCTAGCAGCGGGCCTTGTGCCTTTCGTTGGTTTCGACAGTGCTATCGAGAAGCTGACCGTCTAGAAATTAATGGCAAACTACTGGACGTAAACTTGCCTAGAAAACCCACAACAGCCCGAAAATGCTGGGGTTGGTTCTGCGATGTCCTGTGAAGGATACGAAACTAACTAATATGTGTACTTGGCATACAGTGCTAGACTTGTATTGAAACATTAAGTACTTAAGTCAAGAACCCTTGTCTATGTCTTCGGGTGCATTGGGCACACAGTGTCAGATCTATATGTTATAGACCAATTAGCACTCTGTTAGGATTTGAACCAGTGACTTTACATCCGCTAGCAAGCGTCTAGTCGCTACACTACGAAGACTCTCAGAATTTACTGAAGGTGTTTTTAAAGTGTGTCTGTCCCGTGAAAGATAAAATGCAGTGTATGTTAAGGACGCTATACCGAGTATTTATTTACAGAAGAAGAAGACGAGGAGGGAGAGTAAAGAGGATGAGTGGGTAGAAGAGAAGGAATAGATGGGATGAGGAAGAAGAAGAGAATATGATGCTGATGAGGCTTATAACAATGATAATAATGAGGAAACTGCGACATCAGCGTATTTCTTTTAAGATTAGTTTCAATCCTTTCACAACTTCCCTGTGTAAAGTTTTCCTTTTTACACAGGAACATTCTCTCAGTATCTTATCCCCTATCCCCCTCCCGCACCAAGAACAATCACCCCCTCCCCTTTTCCACTCCACCAAAAAAAATCCCATTCTACAAAAAAAAAAAAAAAGGGGGGGGGGGGGAGGGGACAGAGAATTCCTGTATTCTGTTGACACGGACACCCAGGAAACAATTTAACTTTGCCATTACTTGCCACAATCCCCCCAAAACCTGTGGATTAATATGCGAGGAAGTTAACCTGTCCACACCGCCACATTATCAAAGCAATGATTTAATATTTTTCAGACTGGCCAATATTTTGTGATTGCCCAATATTTGATGTGTCACTTCCACTCCAGTGGTTGGAAATAACTCTCTTTGGGTCGGGTCAAGGTGACTCCCCAATCTCTCAAGGGAGTCGGTTATCGAGCCGGGTATCGATATAGCTGTGTCCAAGATAGCCGCCGCCAAGTTTGATGACCACTTTCAGTGTGCATTCGGGAATCGACTCAGATGTTTGTGTGCTGTGGTTATCTTCGGACAATATGGCTTTGTTTAATCTGTGTGTGTTGTCTTTCTCATTTATCTTCTTCAGATCGCGGAGCGGCTGTCTCGTTTCTTTGTGCCTTTATATATAATAATTTTTCCCCGGAGGAATATTTGGCCCTGTATTTGCACTGTATTTACCTTTCAACTTCTGCATATGCAGCTGTGCGTCTAATCCCCTGTTTGGGGTGGGGATATCTCCTCTTACAATCCATCTCGACCTCCTGATACAATCAGTTTTCATCTCCTCTTCCATCTTTACCTCCTATTACAATCCATCTAGATTTCCTCTTAAAATCTATCTCGACCTCCTAATACAATCCATCCCGATCTCCTCTTACAATCCTTTTCGACCTTCTCTTAAATCCATCTCGACCTTCTCATACAATCCATCTCGACCTTCTCTTACAATCCATCTCGATCTCCTCTTACAATCCATCTCGATCTTTTCTTACAACACATGTCGATCTCCTCGTACAATCCATCTCAACCTCGTCTTACAATCCATCTCGACCTCCTCTTAAAATCCATCTAGACCTCCTCTTAAAATCCATCTCGACCTCCTTATACAATCTATCTCAAACTTTTCTTAAAATCCATCTCGATCTTCTATATCTTAAAATCCATCTCGATCTTCTATATCTTAAAATCCATCTCGATCTCCTCTTACAATCCATCTCGATTTATTCCTGCAATCCATCTCGACCTCCCCTTACAATCCATCTCGATCTCCTATTACAATCCATCTGGATCTCCTCTTACAATCAATCTCGATTTCCTCTTACAATCCATCTCGATCTCCTCTTACAATCAATCTCGATCTTCTCTTACAATCCATCTCGATCTCCTCTTACAATCAATCTCGATCTCCTCTTACCATCCATCTCGATCTTCTCTTACAATCCATCTCGATCTCCTCTTACAATCCATCTTGATCTCCTCTTACAATTCATCTTGATCTCCTCTTACAATCAATCTCGATCTCTTCTTACAATCCATCTCGATCTCCTCTTACAATGAATCTCGATTTCCTCTTACAATCCATCTCGATCTTCTCTTACCATCCATCTCGATCTCCTCTTACAATCCATCTCGATCTTCTCTTACAATCCATCTCGATCTCCTCTTACAATCAATCTCGATCTCCTCTTACAATCCATCATGATCTCCTCTTACAATCCATCTCGATCTCCTTTTACAATCAATATCGATCAACTATTCATGTTTTGTTCCCATATTCTGGCTCTAGATCTGCAACGCAACATTTCGAGTTCAATATAAGCGTTTCAAAACCCTCATCTTCTTTTTTCTTTGGTCGCTTTGTCATATAATCTCATACTAGAAAGCCAGTAGCCTTGATGAAAGCTATCGTTAAGTCCAAACCTCTCCGTGTGCCATGCAACTTTGTCTTTATACAGGTTTGCACAGGTCAGATGGTCTCTCTGCTAACAGAAAACAGTCTACAGTGTTTGAGTACATGCTCAGCATTTTCAGATGCCAAGTTGCAGGGATAATGTCCGTGTCTCTGTTACAGTAAAACTTAAACAAATGTTAAACAGCCTGTCGTGCCCTGTCATTAATTTAAATAATATTATACACTGACTGATCCCTGGGTATATACAACGGATTTAACTCCTCTTATACATCAACACTGTGCCTCCTTATAATTAACCTCCGACTGGACTTCAATATTTTGGTCACGTGTTTGGCTCAGGTGTTATGAGGTAGTACAGAAATTTCGACTTCCGCAGAAAAGTGTGAGAGTCCCTGTATATTTACAACTGACTTGCCTATCCTTACAGCCAACTTCCAAATGAACTCAAATATTTGGTCATATGTGTGTGTCATTATGTTCAACATACCATGTGGAGCTCAACATAACAGTGTAAGAATCCCTGTATGTATACAGATGACTTGTCTCCCCTGACAGCCTGTTTCCAAACGAACTTCAATATGTTGGGAACACATTCTAGCTCCAGGTCCTGAATTCAGTGTTGCCACTTTGGATGTTTTACATCTAGATTTAGAGGTTTTCCCTTGAATTTAGATGGCGTTTTTGACGTTTAGATGATGGATGTTTTTCTAGATGTTTTTCCTTTGGGGGCGAATTTATCAAATCTAACCCAAGAAACAAAATGACATTTGACCTCTTAAATGCTGTCTTGACATTAAAATTCGGCCTGATAAGAGTAGGAAAATGCTGTTCCACTTATCAGCTTCCTGATTGTGTATTAAAAGAAATTGGAACAGCTAAAGCATACCAGAGTCATTTTGGATCTGAAGCTTCAACTTCATCATCCAAGCTAAGTTTATCCTGTGGATCTTGAGAGGCAGACCAGTAAAGCTGCGGACATGATTCTATAGGGTAAGTCATATCAATTGCTATGAAATTTGTGACTCTTTCCATTTGGATGTTTTTCTAGAAGTTTTCCACTCAAATTTAGATGTTTTAGATATTTTTTGACTCCGTTTAGGATGGTTTTTTTTTTTGTCAAAGAAAATTGGCAACACTGCCTGTATTGTGCAATAGAACATTTCGAGTTCCAAATCATAGCGACCTTTCTGTGCAAGGAATTGAAATTGATTCGCCGATGTCTGAGCTGGGGGTGACAGGGACTTTGAAAATAAAGAATGGTGAAAGATCTCATCAGCTGCGGAACTACTTGGGTACTCGACACCTCTAAAAAGGATAATGGATGTCGAGTTGGATCCTGAATGGAAGTACACTTGTTCCCGCTGTGTCGTCAATTGAAGGCGACAAGTTGGAGTCACTGTATGGTAACCGAAGCTTTGAATCGTTATGTGTGTCCTCTTATCTCTACTTCTTTCTACGAGTGTCCATATTAGTTTGTTTGTAATACTTGAGACTGTTTATTGGGGTAAAAACGTGTGTTAATGATTGTTGTTTATGTTTACAATATGGCTGTATTTGTGCAAGATTTGTTTTGTTTGAGTTTGAATTATTTTAGTTTTCACAATCAATTTCAATTCTTCTGCTTCTTCTTCGTGTTCACCGGTTGTAAGATCCGGGAGAAAATTATATTTGTTTGACTTTAGTCTTCTTTCAGAACATGCGTGTTAGCACCTATAAACATTATGTAAGGTGTCCCTCTTTTCTCGACAGCCCCGCCGCTGTCTTTTCTCTGTCTCCCCTTTTCTCCTGTTTCTGTCAAACTAGTTTGTTGGTTAACATGTAACGCAATTTTCTAGCTGACATTGTTGGGTTATCAACTTTATTGCTGTTCCAACATGGGACACAGCTTCTAGTTATTGTAAAGCTCCACCATGGCTGTTATCGGGGGCACTAATATTACCTAACGGTTGAACCGGGTTTCTGGGACGTGGCCGGTTGATCCTCATCCGAAGGTTACGTGTACATCTGTTTTACAGATCTGATTTATTTGTATGCAGACTATTGGTTCCTTGCCTCTCAAGCAGATACACTCCCACATCGAACGATGCTTCGAAAAAAAAAAACGCCACAAATTAATCGAATTTTACGTCACGCTTGTTAGGGTGCAGTGGGTCTACTCTCCCCAACCCCAAAATGGGGTCCCGGAACCCACACGGGGATACAAGATATTAGCTGTGACAAATCTACAAGGACACGACCAAGTCACGTTTCTCGGCTGCTATATTCTATTATTGAACTGCTTCGTCTGCATCCTGACCCGAGTATCGATCGAGCGGCGACCAGACAAGGGCCACAAGTCGGGAATGTGTCCTAGAAGTGGGTGGTTGTTGGGGATAAGGTCGTGAACTTGAGAATTTGGAGGATGAAGCTTGGGCTGTCATTTGGTAATGAGAGGATAATTTAGTGGAGTTCACTCCTTGAATACCACCAGGGAGACGCACTTAATCTATTTACCATATTTTATTGTCTCTCTGTGGTTTTCATAAAGTTATTGCTTTTTTATACTACACATACTGTTTCTGTCTTTTCTGTGGCGGTAATAATAACAGTGTTTTTCTAAGGTGGTCATAGTGTTACTGTTTTCTTTAGTATACATAATGTTACAATTGCTAATAAAAACATCATTGCCACGTTAAATAAATGCATGTACATTATCATTGAAACGTACCGTGCCCACTGCCAAACGAATAGCCCCTGCTTTCCTCAATACCCCTATTCATTTCTGCCTCCCCCTGTCTCTACTCTCTTTTCAAAGTCAGTGGAAAACGGTACGACTCATCATCATTTTATTCACATCATCTTATTGGTTTTGCTTTTGTTTCAAAAGAGATTTGTACAATATGTTTCAACAATAAACACTTAAAAAAAAAAAAAAATTGCTGTGTGTTGAATATAATATCATATATTTATATGCTGTTCACATGTTGCTCTTTTTTCTGTATTGATATTGTTTTTTTTTTTTTTTTTTTGTTTTTGTTTAGTGGTTTAATAATGTTTCTGC